TTTTTTTTTTTTTTTTTTTTATAAATATTTTCGATAACGACGACTTTTTCAAAGAGGTAAATTTTCTAAGATTAATAAAATGAATAATAATCAAAAGGTTCGGGAATATAAAATTGTTGATTAACGCAAGTATTCTCTGGAATCGGATTCAAATTATTAGAATAAAACGATTGTAAATTCATTGCAAGTTCTTCTCCGTGATATTCGAAAATGCCGAGTACATTAGGTGAGGAGGAGGAAGGTAAAATATTGGGATTAACCTGACAGTAATTTGATTGCGGTTCATTAGGTTCATTACAAAACATTTCATGATTCTGAAAAATATTATAATATTGTAATTGATTATCAATAATTTGATTCGTGAAATGATCATAAGAATCAATTTCTTGTTGAAAATTTTCAAAAGATTGTTGTTCATAACTATTCATGTAAGAACAATTTTCATTACTTGAAGTCAAGTTGGGATTTCTTAAATTGAAATCGATTGTATTCAATTCATCAATAGACCAATCGTCAATGATTGGTGAAGTTGTAGTGGATGATTCATGAGAAAGGTCGGGTGTTGAAATCTGATTAATAAAATCCAAGTCAGTTTGATTATCAACTGATACATGCATTTCAAAGGGAGTGGAAGTGGATTCTTTTTTAGTTTCAACATCATTAATTTTTTCATCATTAATTTCATTATTGGGATGTAAAGTTTTTTTTTCAAAAGAAATAACATTCCAATTACTTCGTTTCTTTCTTTTACTTTCAGGTTTAGGAAATAATTTATTACGATAATCGAAAGCTTCTTTAGCAAGTTTTTTATAATAAATTTTAACTTCCTCCGGTTCTTTTTCCCAAGATTGACTAACCATCGAAGAAAGAACGGTCATTGGGAAACAATATCCTTCATTTCTAGCTTCACGAACGTACATTTTACGATAAATGATAAAAGCATTTGGTGCACGATTTGGTTTATTCCCAATGATGGATTTGGATATTAAATCTTTTGGATCAATAAGTGGAGGAAACGGTGGTTTAATATAAGGGTGTACGTAACTGTTAATAATATTATCTAAAAACGGTTTATCATTAGTTTTAATTTGATCACTCATTTCGTTTCGTTTGGTTTCGTTTCGTTTCGTTTCGTTATGTTTCGTTATTAAATAATAAAATAATATTAATAATAAAATATATGTAAATTTTTTTTTTTTTTTTTTTTTAAACGATTGTCAAAGAACGAATTTTGATCTTGGGAAATTAAACATGGAATAAAAT